CCCTTCGGCCAAAACATGACTGAACTTGATTTTTCTTCGGACAACTCAAACTATTTGAACATGATACATGCATAACTGATTAAATAAATGGAATTGGTCGAGAGATTTCAAACTGAAACTTGACATGACTGAATATAAACGACACGCACGGCTAAATCGATATAGGCACGCATATGTACTTAGACAGAAGGTTGGACTAAAGAAACATGTTAATTTCAGCCTATAATAACACAGGAATTACCTCCGACTAAGCTCGACTAACAGCAAATTCCTCGGACTCCCGTGCTCGTGCGTGACTCTTCGCGTGTTCTGCGTCGCCGTGCGGTGCTTTGCTGTGCAGCGTGCGGTGGAACTCGGCGCCGCGTACGATTGTGCTACTTAACTTGTGGAAATCTCTCAATTTCTCACAACTCTCTCTCTCAAGCACTTAGTTGGGAAAAATAGATAAAGCTAAAAGTGATCCCAATTTTTCCAACTTAATCCTATATATAAATCAACGAGAGAGAGAGGGGTTATTTGGTGGCTTTGCTTAAACATGCCACTTGTAATAAAGTTAAGTGATCTTAAGGTGACTAATCATCTCTTAACCTCACATAATGCCACGTCTCATGCCATAAGAAGAAGAAATAATTTCCTTAATTATGGAGAAATTGAGTACGGTTTATTGACTTAAATCCCACACTTGCTACGGCTTTGATCACTTAAAGGTGATTAATTATAAATTAATCACTAAATTATGTTTAATTACTAATTAAACATAATGCTTAACTACCAAAATTATTCCGAACGTAAACGGAACGTCGAAAATAATTTTTGGTAATCTTAACTGAAATGACTAAAATAATTAATTCCGAAAATAATAATCGATAACGTTATTATATCGGAACTAAAACATGATTTAAATTAATAAACTAACGGGATATTACAATCCTCCCTCCTTAAAAATTTCTGTCCTCAGAAATTCAAAACATAACTGAATATACATGAACTATGTACATGGAACATGAAAATATGTACATCAAAACTGAAAATCTGGAAAACGAGCGCGAATATCGGACTCCGCCTCCCAAGTAGCTTCGTGGCTATCCCACTGAATACGCACGAGGGGAACATCTCGCTTCCGGAGCCGACGAACCTGACGGTCTAATACAGCTACCGGTCGCTCCTCGTACGAAAGATATGGCTGAACCTGAATATCTGAATGAGGAATGACATGATCGGGGTCGCACACGTATTTACGCAACATAGAGGCGTGAAAAACATTATGAATGCCTGATAACTCCGGAGGTAAAGCTAATCGATACGTGAACTTGCCTACTCGCTCGAGAACCCGAACGGACCGATGAATTGAGGGTGCAGCTTCCCTCTCTTTCCGAATTGAACGACTCCGCGAATCGGACAAACTCTGAGAAAAGCTGGCTCGCCAACCTCGAACTGAATGTCTCGTCGATGATGATCGGCTGAAGATTTCTGTCGACTCTGAGCTGTCTTGAGTCTCTGCCGGATCAACTCGACCTGATCTGCTGTTTCATCGATCAACTTAGGACCGAGTACTCGTCGCTCTCCGATGTCGTCCCAATAAAGAGGGGAACGACACTTGCGTCCGTAAAGTGCCTCGTAAGGAGCCATCTGAATAGAAGAATGATAGTTGTTGTTGTACGCGAACTCAGCATACGGCAACAACGACTCCTACTTAGCACCCCTGTCGACAACCAAAGCGCGAAGCATATCCTCAAGTATCTGAATGGTCCTCTCAAACTGACCGTCTGTCTCCTTATGGTAGGCTAAACTGAATTCTAGCTTCGTGCCCATCGCCTCGTGTAAACTGTGCCAGAATCGACTAACGAATCTGGGATCTCTGTCTGATACGATAGTAACGGGCACTCCGTGGAGTCGGATGATCTCACGGGTATAAATCTCAGCCAACTTGTCCAAAGACATCTTCATCGAAACGGGTAAGAAATGAGCGACCTTAGTCAATCTGTCGACCACGACCCAAATAGCGTCGTGATGTTCAGACGACCTAGGTAATCCCGTAACGAAATCCATCGTGACTTCCTCCCACTTCCACCTCGTAATCGGCAGTGGTTGCAGGAGGCCGATCGGACTCTGATGTTCGGCTTTGACTTGCTGACAGGTAAAACATCTCCTGACAAACTCGACGACGTCCTTCTTCATTCCTCGCCACCAGAACGACCCTTTCAGGTCATGATACATCTTCGTGCTCCTGGGATGGGCTAAGTAGGTTGCGGTATGAGCCTCTGATAATATCTCCTTCCGCAATGCCTCGACTTTCGGGACCACGATCCTGTCTCTGAACTCTAGGGCACCATCGGCACCTAGCTAAAAAACCTCGATGCCTCCGGCGTGAACCTTGGCATCCATGACACGAACGAACTCGTCAGAAGCCTGCTCTCGCCGGATTCTCTCTCTCAGCGTCGACTGAATCTGCATGGCACTGACACTGGCACTGACACTCCCCGAAATGGCTGTGGGAAGTGCATCGATCGCCTGAAGCTGCATCCGGGCAAACTCCTGAATCAATGGACTCTGCTGAGTAACGACGTACGTCAAGTCAGCCCTCACCTTTCAGCTTAGGGCGTCAGCAACGACGTTCGCCTTTCCCGGATGGTACTGAATAGAGCAATCGTAATCCTTGACAAGCTCGAGCCAACGGTCCTGTCTCATGTTGAGCTCCTTCTGAGTAAAAATATACTGCAAGCTCTTATGATCTGTGAAAATCTCACAACGACCGCCGTAAAGATAATATCGCCATATCTTGAGAGCATAAACGACTGCTGCTAACTCCAAGTCGTGCGTCGGATAGTTCTGCTCATGCGGCTTAAGCTGACGTGAAGCATACGCAACGACCTGGCCATCCTGCATAAGGACGCATCCCAAACCCTGTCTCGAAGCATCGCTGAAGATGGTGAAACTCCGAGAAGGATCGGGAATAGTCAACACCGGTGCTGAAGTTAACCTCCTCTTGAGCTCCTGAAAGCTCGACTCACATCGGTCAATCCACTCGAACCTCACAGACTTCCTCGTCAGCTGGGATAGAGGGAGGGCAATCTTAGAAAAGCCTTCTATAAACCTGCGATAGTAGCCATCTAGACCGAGAAAACTGCGAACCTCGGACAGACTCCTCGGTGTCGACCAGTTCTGAACAGCTGAGACCTTGGAAGGATTCACCTCGATACCTGCCTGAGTAATAACATGACCCAGAAAGGCTACTCGTTGGAGCCAGAACTCGCATTTGGAGAATTTTGCAAACAACTTTTCTCGTCTGAGGGTTTCGAGAACCAACCTCAGATGCTCCTCGTGCTCCTTCTGACTTTTCGAGTAGATAAGAATATCGTCAATAAAGAAAATAACGAACTGATGGAGGTAGGGATGGAAAATACGGTTCATCAGGTCCATGAAAACCGCTGGAGCATTGCTAAGACCGAATGGCATGACGACGAACTCGTAATGGCCGTAACGAGTCCTGAAAGCGGTCTTAGCGATATCTGACTCCTTAATCTTCAGCTGGTGGTAGCCTGATCGTAAATAAATATTTGAGAACACACAGGCTCCCCTCAGCTGATCAAATAAGTCGTCGATCCTGGGAAGCGGATACTTGTTCTTGATCGTCAACCGGTTAAGATCCCAGTAGTCGATACACATGCGCATAGATCCGTCCTTCTTCTTGACAAAGAGAACGGGTGCTCCCCAAGGTGACACGCTCGGTCGGATAAAATCGAGTCGTAACAGCTCCTGAATCTGCGCCTTAAGCTCCTGCAACTCCTTCGGCGCCATACGATACGGGGCTTTGGATACTGGACCGGCTCCTGGGATGAGATCGATAGAGAACTCCACCTGCCGGTTAGGCGGTCCTCCTGGAAGCTCGTCTGGGAACACGTCTACAAACTCACGAACAACTGTAACATCGTGAGGTGATCGTGCTTTCTGAGAATCGTCGACAAGGCTCACCAGATAACCTTGGCAGTTGCCTCGTCGCAGCAACTTAGTGGCTTTCGCCATCGAAACAACATGAGGCAATGAACGATTCCTGGAACCAAAGAAAGTGATCGAGTCGTCTCCCGGAAGATAGAGAGTAATCTCCCGGTCATGACATCTGATATCTGCATGATAAAAGGATAGCCAATCCATTCCGAGAATAAGGTCGAAGTCCCTCATCTCGAGAACAAACGCGTCGGTAGACAATGAACGCCCACCGATGGAAAGGCTGAGATCTGAAGCCTTAGCTGAGGTCACTATTTTTCGTCTCGAGGCTAAACTCACCTCGAGAGGATCGACAGCGGTAACGGCATGAATTCTGATGGCATCAAGACATCGTCGTGAAATGAAAGAATGTGTCGCTCCAGTATCGAACAAAGCAAACACAGGAACATTATTAAGCACAACAATCCCTGATATAGTACCTGGCTGCTGCTCGGCCTCTGCCTGATCAACTGCATAGACTCGGGCCTGTTGTCTGCCCCTCTGCTGTTGCTGCTGAGGCGGCCTCTGTGCCTGCTGACATGGCTGCTGCTGCTGCGGTGGCTGCTGAGGCTGCTGAGGCTGATGGAGCTGCTGTGCCTTCTTCGGACAACAGTTTGCGAAGTGTTCGGGCTCGTGACAGTAATAGCATACATCCTGGCCAAAGCGACACTCGCCTCGATGAAGTCGTCCGCATGTCGGGCACTGTGGGATCTGCTGTAGCTCCGCCGGGTCCTCTTGTCCATTGGGGCACCTTTCTCCTTCCTCTTGTTGTTCTTCGGTGGCTGGGCAGTGGCTGGTGACATCGGTGGAACTGAAGATAACTGAGCAGGGGCAGATGGCTGAGGATGATCACGGACGGCCTCCCTCTTGATGCTGGCGTCCACCTTCTGGGCAATCGAAACAGAACGAGCATACGTCTGTGTCCCGTGGCCTACGATGTTATGACGGACTGCTGGGTAAAGCCCGTCAATGAAGCGTTGTGCTCTCTGGGCCTCCGTGCGAACCAAGTCAGGAACAAAAGCTGCAAGTCTAGTAAACTCCCTCTCATACTCGTCAACAGTACGAGTACCCTGCTGGAGCGATAGAAACTGACGCTCCATCTCTGCTCTGTAGTAGGTGGGGTAGTACTTCTCGCGGATCAGCTCCTTGAGCATCTCCCATGTACATCCCGCCTTCTCGTCGGGACACATACTCCAGTAGGCATTCCACCAGAGCCGAGCATCACCGGTGAGCTGAAGCTGAACGCAGACAACGCGATATCTATCTGGACAATCCATGACCTCGAAGATAAACTCAAGGGCCTGAATCCACTCGTCCACGATACGGGGATCTCCCTGCCCGGAGAATTTCTCGGCATGATAGTCGCGGAACTGTGCGACTACTGTGGCCTGAGTAGGAGCCGGGTGATCGGGTTCCCTACGGGGCGGCATCTGAACATTGAGAAAGTTCAACATTATTGAACACGTGATAATATTCTGACTGATTACTAAGGCACACAAATCTCTTGACGAGTTGCCAAAAGTGGCCGATAAATACTGACGTTAATCCTGAGGAACTCTAGAGTCATATCGGAAAATACTGAATTCTAGAGTCATATCTGAATATTCTAAAGTCTGAATATGATTCGAGCATCTTAACTAAGTCCTGATAAAAGATTTCTGAGCATAGACAAAGTAATATGTTTATAACTTAAAACTAAATCAGCACTTACCTGTAGTCGGCGAGGCGTGAGCGTGGCGGTTCAGGTTTTTCTAAAAATTTCTGACTGAAAAACTTTTCAGAGACGCAGAAACGTGCTCTGATACCAATTGTAACACCCCGACTTTTTACTGAAATTAGAGTACGCATTTTTCGCAATTTTTCTGAATAAATAAATAAAATATTTACTTTGCGAAAACTCATTCGGAATGCTACCGTGAAAAACTTGACTTTTCTGAAAACCGTTAAATTTTAAACTGATAGTAAAACGGTTATAATATATTAACCGACTAAAGTCGGATCAAAAGTTGTTTAAAAGTACTGAGAGTTTTAGCGGAATAACAGCGTGGTCAAAACATATATATACATATCCACAAATATCCTGAACTGCCAGCCAGTTCACTCCTCGTCACCGACCCTGCAACCTGAAAAGACATGAAATACGTGGGGGCGTGAGCACTAAAACACTTGTGCTCCGCAGAAACTCATACTAATGTAGACATTGAAAATAATAACAATATCATGATCCTGGCATATATAACTGAACAGAAACTGAAACTGAAACTGATATCTGATACCGGTCTGATCTCGCGACATAAGTCACGTAACTGATAACTGAACATCTGTCGGCACAAACTAATACCGGAATTTGCCGGCACAAACTAATACCGGACACCATGTGCACACTCTAGTGGGCAGATTAGGCCACTAGGACCCAGAATGGACCGGCGACCATTCCGAGCGGATACTGAATATACATACCTCAAACATGGTAGCGTAATTATAATCAATGTAGTACTTAGTATGAGTTCCCACCTGATCCGTGAAACTGAAGGTAGTGCTGATGCCTGATCAAACTGAAATATAATATAAACAATTACTACTGACTATGCTCAGACTGATAAATTAACTGAT